GAAATAAAATCTTTAAAAAATAAAACAAAACAAAACTTCTCATCTATCACCGCTTTCTTGGGTGGCTAGACCTGGGCTCGTGTGTGTGTGTGTGTGTGTGTGTGTGTGTGTGTGTGTGTGTGTGTGTGTGTGATGAGTAGCAGCAGCTAAAGCAGTAATCCCTGGTCAATCCCATCGTGGGTGTCCTTGATTAATATCCCTGGTCTAACCTGACTATTGTCCTGGGGAGCTCATTACCATCAGAGAAGCCTCTAGTCCTATCAGGGCTCCCCCTGTTCGTGCGCTAATGTGTCAACTCATTTCATCCACCTGAGCTTCAGTTTACCCACAGTGGGTTCCTATGCATTTGGCACCTGACTGGTTCAGGTCAGTGCTAATAAAGATGTGTTAACTGATGGGGGCATTCTTCCCAGTAGCACAGCAAGAGGATGCTTTTAAAACCTCAATAGTGTTTAGAAGGGGTGAGGACAGAGGGTAATTTAAGTCACCCAGACCAGCTCAATAAACCTTTTTTGTTTGTTTGTTTTCCTATGCTAAGAGAATAAGAAAAATGTAATTAAATTTAAGTAACTAAAGCTATGGCCTTAAAGGAGGTTTTCAGGACTTGGGACCTTGGTCATTCTGTAAAAAATTGTAGAAACCTTTCTGGAGACATGTCTTTAGGTTATATACAGGAAATCTTCTCAGCTCCAAGTTGTAAAAACCAACAACAAAACAATATTTAAAATCTCTGACTTCTGTTCACTTGACAGGGGGCTTCCTATTTCCAACAGAACAATTCAAAATTCATTGTCCTGACTTCCCTCAGCAGCTAAAATTCCCAGTTTCATATCTGTTTTAAGTAGTACCTTGTTATAAAGGGTTATTTTTAAATGACCCTACTCTTTGGTCGGTATACCTAGCAGATGATCGAGGACGTAGCCTAATGAGTGCAGCTCGAAGGACTCCACCTTCTGGGGCCGTGCACCACCCTAGGCATGTGGAGTCATGAGCAAAATTCAAGGTCCCCTCTCAGTGCTGCAGCTGGACTGGCCACACCGCCTGGCCCAGAAGCGAGAGAGCTGTTGGTGGAAGGCTGGACTTACAGAGGGAGTTGGGGGAAGGAGGGTGGGCTTGAAGTAAATGTTTCTTTCATGTGAGGAAGACATGTTTTCTGTAGATTAAAAAAAAGGGGGGGGGATCGAGATGGCCAAAGAGATATGCCAGCAGTAGTCAGCAATCATACTCCTCCTGCCGTGCCATTCCATGCATTATTCCTGCACACGCAAGCACGCCCTATGAAAGGGGGTGGTAGTCTCAAGTCCCCCAAAGCCAGGACCACTCATTGTTTTTGAAGTCCCAGAACATGTCTGTGAAAGGTAAAGAAATGCTAGAGCAGGATTCACAAAAATTAGGATCTATATTAATATATAGATATGTGTATAATGCTTAAGACTTAAAGACACGATAACTTGCAGGGGATTGCATCAGGACATAGCATCTCAAGTTCAGTTTCAAGATTTGGCCTAATTATGCCATTTCACTGCTCTTCCCATTGCCGTGATAGGTCTGTTGTAAGAGGTGTCAGGCCCTGGAGGTTTCCTTAGCGGTATAACATGACCTTTCTCCACGTCGACAAATACGATTCCCACTCTCGTTGCTGTACAGAGGCCCACTGTGTGTAGGGACCACCATAGCTTAAGCCGTGTTCTTGGATGTTTCTTTCTTTCTTTCTTTGATAGCAGCACTACGTGGATATTCTTACACTTGCTACTTCTGATCTTTTCTCATTTCCTTAGGATGAACTTGGTGAGATACAATCCATGGGGCACAATATACTCACATAGTTTTGAGGTTTAAAATGGCTCTTTCAGAAAACCAGCACTCTTGTTTTAGAAAATGAAAGCAAGTCCAATGCCAGGGTAGAGTTTGGCTCTGCCCCAGACCTCATTGCTTTTCAGAGTCATCGTGGTCAAGTTTCGAGTATCACGCTGAGCTATATGCCAGAGTTCAAAGACAAGATGGGCATGGTCAGGCATGGGTTTTGGGGTGCAGGCGGAGAAGCTATGGGGACAAGCACAGAGACAGAAGCCCTGCTCAGGTGCAGTCAGATGGCCTAACAAGGGCTTCGGTGGGTGTGGCTGGACCCCCAGAACAGAAGACAGAAACCAGAGAAAGAGTTGAAGCTTGTATGCCACACTGGGATCAGGGTGAACCCCACCCTTTTGCACTTGAAGAGGGCTGCCCTGAGCCCCCTTTGATTTTCAGCCCTACCAACTCCCTTCAAGTGTCCCCCATCCTACATGTGCCTCAGCCCCACTGCCCGCCTACCCTTGGAAAGCTTTGTACCACTTCGTAATGAGTTCTGGCAAAACCTGTCTTTTCCAGCAGAACCACATGGTGAGGTGTCCAGAAAAGCAAACCAAGGAATGTAGAGTGTTCTGTTCTGTCACTTTGGTCCCCTTTCTAAGTAGCCCACTCTTCCAGGCCAGCTTGCCAGCTCCGTGCTCCTGGCCGTGTTCACTGGAAGCCGAACTCCAAGGATTCTAGAAGCCCCAGCCCCTGTTTCTTTCAGTGCAAAGTTATCCCTCCCTCTGTTACTGCCCTAAATTCTCTTTTCAAATCCTTGCCTGACAGTTAACTTGGCCTTGCAACTCTATTTCTTAAAACCCTCCACCCAAAACTGTGACTCAGCATTCCAGGAACAAGTAAATCTCATCAAAGGCAGTGCCTGTCCTTCAGCCTTCCTCTTGGAACTGCTCTCCCCCCTCCCCTCTTAAGCTCTTGAAATCCTGTTTATCTTTCTGGACACATCTCACATTCTATCTTCTTTAAGAAGTCTTACCAGCTTTGTAGTGTTCTGAAGGCCCGTTAAATGTGAACGTGATCCATATCATATTCCACGGTGTCTAGTGTCCAGATGGCCCCTGACAGATGGACTTTCAACTTCACGATCGTTCTACTTTATGATGGCGTGAGAGTGATACGCATTCAGTAGAAACCATACTTGGAATTTTGAATTTGGATCTCTTCCTGGGCTAGCAGTACATGGCACAATCCTCTTTCGTGATGCTGGGGGCTGGCCGCTCCCTGCCAGCCACATCACCATGAGGGTAGATCACCGACACACTGACAGCCGTTCTGCACCCAGACAGCCACCTGTTAGTCACTTTCAGTGCAGTATTCGATACATTACATGAGATACACAACACTTTATTATATTATCAGTCTTGTTTTCTGTTTCTTTTTTTATTGAAGTATGGTTGACACACGTTACGTTATTTTTAGGTGTACAAGGTGGTGATTTGACAAGGCTGTTCATAGTGTAGCTACCCTGTGTCACTGTACTGCATTGTTACTATAGCATTGACTCTATTCCCTATGCTGTCCACTTCATCCCCATGACTTAGGCATTCCATCACTGGAAGTCCGTTCCTTCCACTCCCCTTAGACTGTTTTGCCCATCCCCCACCCACTCTCCCCTCTGGCAACCACCAATTTGTTCTCTGTATTTATGGATCTTTTTTTTTTTCTATTTTTCTTTGTTCATTTGTTCTTTTAGATTCCACATGTAAGCTTTCACTTACGGCCTTTGGTTTTGCTCTATCTTATTTCACTTAGCGTAACTTCTAGGCCCAGAAATGGCAAAAATCTCATTCCTTTTTATGGCCACGTAATATTTCTTGTGTGTGAGTAATTGTGTACATGTGTACATACACACAATATCCTCTTTCTCCACTCATCTATGGATGAACACTTAGGTTGCTTCCATTTCTTGACTATTGTAAATAATGCTAAAATAAATAGAAGGGTGCATACACCTTTCAAATTAGTGTTTTGTTTTCTTTGGGTAAATACCCAGTAGTGAAATTACTGGATCAGTATGGTATTTCTATTTTTAATTTTTTGAGGAATCTCCATGCAGTCTTCCACATCAGTACTATATTATAAAATGGACAAAAGATTATTTTTTTTAAGATTTTATTTATTTATTTGACAGATAGAGATCACAAGTAGGCAGAGAGGCAGGCAGAGAGAGAGGAGGAAGCAGGCTCCCCACTGAGCAGAGAGCCCAATGCGGGGCTCGATCCCAGAACCCTGAGATCATGACCTGAGCCGAAGGCAGAGGCTTAACCCACTGAGCCACCCAGGTGCCCCCAAAAGACTATTTTTTAAAAAAGATTTTATTTATTTATCTGAGAGAGAATGAGCAGGGTGAATAGCAGAGGGAGAGGGAGAAGGAGACACCTGCTGAGTAGGGAGCCTGACATGGGTCAGGACACTGGGTTCATGACCTGAGCCAAAGGCAGACACTTGACTGACTGAGCCATTCAGGGGCCCTGGCAAAAAGCCTATTTTGTAATAGATGGCTTTGCCCAATTATATGATGTCTAGTAGTTTAGGTGTGTTAAATGCATTTTTGACTTGGGATATTTTCAGTTTATGTTGGATTTATTAGGATGTGACCCCATCATAAGTCAAGGATAATCTGTAGATAATACCACACAATAGAGTGTGTGTGTACTTACAACTTTAGTTTCCTTGAGGGCAAAGATGATAACCACCCCTTTTCCTCTTCTGGGTGTTGAGAATCACCTTGTCTTGCACTAAGGTACTGCTTCCATGAGTGACTGAGCAGTGAAGGAACATGAATTCATGGATAGGCCAAGTAGATGTGAGGAGCCCAGTAAAGTTCATCTGATAGAGGAGTCTAGCTCTGGCTTTCTCTAAAAGAGGGTTTTGATGTCAACATTCTGACCAGACCCTCTATATAAAAGCACTTTATAGACAGAGGGAGACAGTGACACTTTTTAAAATAAAATAAAAGAAGAGCTGATGGAGATCAATAGGTACTCACTACGTAAGGTCCCTTTGACGTCCTTCTTAGGTGTATGTTTTCACTGTGGTTGAATTTAATGCTGTCTGTCGTTTTTGTGTCATGGAATGTTTCACATTGGTTAAATTACATCTGCTTTTGAAAGAACAAGTATTAACACATGTGTCACTCCTGTTTCTTGCAGGCGACAATGGTCCTGAGCTCTGCACACTTCTGGCTGGGATTATTTCTGGTGCCCACAGCGTGTTTAATGGAAGATGTAGCCTGGAGAGCGTAAGTGAAGAGTGACGTAGTCACCCGAAGTCTTGCTCATCTGTCCTTGCAGTCTCCTGTCATGAACCCTAACCTTAGGATATTTCATGCTGTGGGATATTCTAAAGGAACAGGTCGTCTGCTACCTGCCAGCAACAGGTGTAAAGGATGTTGGGGGTTTGGGTTTCTTGTGGTTTTCTTTTTTTCTTTTAACCTGTGCTTCACCTCGATAGGAGAATATAGACAAAGAGGAGTCCTAAGACAGGCTGTGTAAAGGTCAATAGGTATGAAGCTTGTACATGATTTTAAAGTAGGGTTTCTAAGTACAGATTCATTCCATCAGGTTTAGGAAGCATAACTCAAAATTCATTTCTCCTTATATAAAAAATCAATGCCTAAGCAGTCACAAATATAAACTTGCTTTAAATCCTAGGTTTAAATGAAAATTGTCTATATGTAAGTCATTTCAAATTAGAAAATAACTTGGAATGAAGTATTGTTCATTTTTCCAATAATTCACAGTAGAACTCCTTCAAATATGATTTATTTAGAGTGTCAGTGTACAGGTCTATGAGAATTAATCACAAAGATGAAATTATAATGTAGGTTAAGTAGGAAATAATTCATGCTCAGTTTTTGCTTATATGTTCCAGAATACATTGTTTCCAAAATATCTTCTGTACAAGGTAAGCTAAGCAACTAAGTTCCAAGATAATGTTAATTTTAATTTCATCCACGAGAAAGAGATGGAAGACTCCAAAAAAGATAATATTGATTTTTGTTTGGGGTAGGCTGATTCCTCCTACAAACAGTTCCCAACTTTCCCTGAAAATTGAGACTCCTTGATTGGTTTTACTTTGGGCAAAGCATAATTATTTTGGGGCCTTGAGGTAGAGAATTGAGACTTTAATCCAAACCTTCCAGGAAAAGACATCAGATTTCATTTTTATCTCCCCCCGTCCTCTCACACTCAATGAGAATTGTTCTTGCCTGACAGTTAAGGGTGTTTTTTGAAAAAGTCTTCATTTTGGCATTATCTTGACAACCAGTGATGCATAATGCAGAGAGAGTGAGGAAGAGAGAGAATTGTATAGCACATATTTGGGGTGCCTTTTTTTTTTCTCTTCACTAAGTTTTGCAACTATTAGCAAAAATTAAATAATTCTAATTTATTAAATGCCTTGATGTACCAATACTTCCCTTTTATCTGCTAAAACCGTATTCTATAAACAGCTGAATTGGAATCCTTCAAAATGAAATTATTGTAGCCAGGAAAGATGTTTTCTTAATCTAATAAATGCACTGAAACAAAATGCTAGTTCTATTATTTGTTCTTGTAGCACATAGCCCAGTTGTGGCACGCTGTATTACCTTGCTAAATTTCTTCAATTTTACATGACAGGTTAGTTTTAGGTAAATCCAACATGATACTGGCTATATCAGATCACGTTACAATTTATAGCGATTGAGAATAGGAATGTGACTATGAATTACTCTCAGACTATTTTAATTCAACTATCTTGATTAACATCCCGAAAAAATATGTTTACTGAGTCTCTGTATTTGCCAAGTGAGACTTTAGCAGCAGTAGCTTTCTACTCTTTCAAAAAGTGGTTGCAGATTATAATGTCTCTATCTCCTGTCAGTCTTCTGGATCTTTTCCAATCCATTCCAAGTAAAACTTACCAATCACCAATGAAGCAAATTATTCCTTCAAACAGGACTTGTTTTTGGTTTCCCCTAGTATTATAAAACTACCAACATTTACATTTTAGCAAGGATAGATTCAAGGACACTGCCTCCAGCTCCACCATATGGAAAGAGTACAAGTCACTTATTGCGAGAAGTTTGCCAGCCAGGTAGGAGAAGGGACCAGGCACTACGAAGGAGGTGCTGGTCAGGGGCCAGCAGTGGCAGACCCTGGGCATTGTCCTACCTGCTGCCTCCTGCCCAGGACAAGCCCAGAGAAGAGCCCTTCCCAAGAGCAGTGGGCTTTTCTAGCAGCTTTGGGCTGAGCTGGGAAGACTCCTAATCAATTCCGGAGGCACTTACAGAAATGTACTTTTGTCTGGTTTTATTTAGGGAAACCAGGGAGAATGGATGGACTACATTGGCTCTCCCTGGCAGTATTTGCCCAAAGTACATGCTTAATTTTTAATATACATTTAATGTCTAAATTAGAGTCACCACTGTCTTCAAAGACAAGCATCTGGCCAGCTTATCTGGGAATTTTCCCTGAGATCATGGGGCCCAGGTTTTATCTTATATTATACTCCCAGCCTGAAATAGATGTTGTTGGGTCCAGTAAATTTCAGAGGCTTCTCTGGGAGGTGGAAGCAGACTCAGAGTTGCTCACCTCTGCCAAGGCCACCGTCCAGGACTGTGATTTCTCTTTCTTTCTTTCTTTCTTTCTTTTTTTGTTTTTTAAAGATTTTATTTATTTATTTGACAGACAGAGATCACAAATAGGCAGAGAGGCAGGCAGAGAGAGAGAGAGGAGGAAGCAGGCTCCCTGCCGAGCAGAGAGCCCGATGTGGGGCTCGATCCCAGGACCCTGGGATCATGACCCGAGCCAAAGGCAGAGGCTTTAACCCACTGAGCCACCCAGGTGACCTGTGATTTCTCTTTCTGAACTTCCGCTTCCCAGAATGTGTTCTGTTTTCCCTTCCTGCACACTGAGCAAAAACATGAACCTGATTGTCCACAGCCACTCTTCATTTGGTTCCAACTGTCAATTCTTTATTGAAACACGATGTGCTCTGGCTCTCCTTGGACGTCCATGGAGAGTTTGAATGAAGTGAACCAGAATCCCAGGGCCGTGAAGGGCCTGTGCCATGACAGCGACATGGGGCTGAGTTCACAGGACGGTTACGTTTTCTCATCTTGCCTTGGACCAATTTTTTTTTTTTTAATTTTTTCAGTGTTCCAAGTTTCATTGTTTATGCACCCCACCCAGTGCTCCATGCAATACATGCCCTCCATAAGACCCACCACCAGGCTAACCCAATGCCCCACCCTCTCCCCTCCAAAATCCTCAGTTTGTTTTTCAGCCTTGAACCAGTCTTACAGACCTCTTGTCTTATTTTGAATTTTAGTGGTTAACTACTTAGAAAGAGCTTTTAAATCCTAACAGACCCGCAGGCCCACCTTTTCATGTGTCTTTCTAGAAGCGCTTAACAAAGTGAGCTGCTCTCTTTCTGCATTTTCCCCCTTACTTTGTCCAGTCCCTCTCTCCCATTTTAGGACCTAGACTCTTCAGAGTCAGGAAAAAAAAAAAAAGAAGAAAGAAAGAAACTCAGCATGAGGTAATTTAGTCATTTTTTCCATGAAGTCTGTCAGCTTTCTGCTTGAAGATCCATTACTAGACTATCTTAAGTCAGATTTGGACACCATAAAGTAGCTACTCTTTTATCCTGTCAACCATAATTTTCACGAGGGACCAAACTAACACATCTTTTACTGAAATATTGATTGATTATATGTGATACCTGGCTAATGAGTATTTTTATGAGGAGCATGAAGTTTAAATTGCCCAGAACTACCTTAATATCCTTTAGCTTACACACTTCCAAAATGTTTACCCATGACAGCATTCTTAGGTAAGCTGCCGTGTACTTATTCTCATTTAGGAGAAATCTGTTAGTTGCTTTACAAAAATAATATAAATCTCAAGGCCACTGAACACAGGAACCAATCTCCTTTTATCTAACTGTATCTCTTATGCTTTACCCGTCAACACACAATGCGTTCAGCAATTCCAGCATGACTTCATTTCCTTATTATAATCCCAGATAGGCAGTTAAATGGAAATAAAAGGTAATACGAAATTTCTGTATACAAATGAGTCTTGATATTTTTGTAAAAAAAAACTTTCTACCTACAATAAGTTCATGTGAAGCACACCGTATTTACATTTTTATCCACATTTAGAATTTAAGGTCTCCTGACTTGCTACTTTTCCATGCAAAAGAAAGAGTTGAGGAAAAAAGCTTCCAGGAAAAAAAAAAAGATGAAAATCTGAGCCAATCCACTTATTTTAAAAGTCCTTCCTAACCTGGAGTTACCCTGGAGGCTCCTGGATGCTCTTGAACTCTGACAGTGGCCAAGCAGACCCACATTGCCCCTTCTGTAGTCATCTGGTTTCTTGATGAGGGTTAGATGGAGCAGCCCTGGGCCACTGGGGATAAGCTGCTCATGGATAATGGGGCTCACTCTGTCACAGCTGTGGCTGAGCAAACCAAACCCCAGCTCCTGGTGAGACCTAAATTGCATGCCAGTGGCTAATGCTCAAAGACTGGCTTTTCACATGTGGACTTTGATGAGGGGGGATCATTTATCTAATTAAGGCTTTATTAGATAAAGGCTGCTGAGAAAGTGGTTTTGCACTGCTAACATTGCTTCTACCCCAGTGCCACACAGAGAAGGACTCAAAGAATCGTCCCCAGCGTCGCCACCCAGTGTTCTCAAATAGTGGTCAAGTTCCCAGGCTAGCCTGTGGGAGCTCGCCTCGTGGAAATACTAAGAAATTGTTGAGTAACTCTTGGACACAGATGAGTTTCACCCACTGAGAACATGCGCAGTGCCTGGTGATCATTTCCTTCTGAGGTGACTTTATGAATGAGCCCACACCAGCAGCTTCGATGCAGTGGGCCAGATTCTCTCTCCCTTGGCCTAAGGTATAGATTTCCAGGGCCCTGCACCCACTGGCCCAGCCTTCCTGTCCCTAGCCTATTTCTTGATGATGCCCTTGTCACCCAGCCCAGAAGAGAACTCTGAGGGCTGTTCCAGAGGTTGGGGAGCCCTGCTTGCTCTGTGTGGGGAGGAAGACAGAGGAAAGAGGGGAGGACAGTGGTGGAGCGAGGAGGGCCCTGAAACCGAGCACACACTCAGCCTCAGGACCGGCACGCATGTCCTCCTGGGGCCTGGAGGCTCCAGCAGGCTAGAGTGTGGCTTGCGACTCGGGTTGTCTTGGTACCATTCTAGCCCCGTGAGCCCATGAGATGAAAGTTGGGGACGCAGCATATTCAGTAATACGGAACAGTGTAAAATGTTTGCCTGTCTCCAGCAAAACGTTAAATGTTTTCTCATTTCTTGTTTAAATTAAAATTCCACCGCCTCTGCTTTGAACTGCGGAATGTTATCACTACTGAGTCCCTGGACTCGGCTTGGTGTAATTAAGGTATTATGTGTTAAAACCTGTGCGGCCGAGTGCTCGTGTTTACTTTGGAGGAAAGGAATGGCAGGCGCATATACAGTGTCTTCAGGCTAATACTCCATTATAGATTAACTTGGAGTGTTGGGGGATGACTGGGCATTATCTTAACAGACTTTCTTCCCTTGAAGGTGGAGGGTGGGCGGGCGTATGTGATTCCCCTGAAACAGCTCCCATCTCCCGAATGTTCCCGTTCCACGGTTCTCCCTTCCTCGCAGAGACGCTCCGTGTTTGTTCATCTTCTTTGAGTCCTGGTCCTTAACAGGGTCTTCACATCTGTTCACGTTGAAATGAATGATAAGCTTTTCGTAACAAGGAAAACTGCCCTGTATTGCTAAGCTCGGAGGCTTTTTGCTTCTTGAGTTTTTCTTTTCCCGTCTCATACCAGTGTCCAGCTAACCGCCTTTCTTCAACTGTATCCTTTCCAACCAGGAGCTCCGGGTGTAGTCTCAACTTTAGGGAGACCCTAGATCAGCCGCTTATTTGAACGTTTGTAAGGTATTCTTCATTTAACCAGAAAAAGGGTGCAGGCAGCTATCCCTACAGTTCATGGGGCGTAACGGAACCAGGCTGAGGTTTCAGCTGTGGTCAAGAGGCCAGCTTGTTGTCATTACTCCCTCAGTTGATTTACTCTTGGGGGCCCACGAATATGGGCCCTAATGGTAAGTCTCTGCAAGAGAAGGGTTGAAAAGCTGTGTCGGGATATTTGTGTTGACCCTAAATTTCAGATGCACGGTTTGACTTGAGGAGCGTGAACTCCAGCATTATAAATCCCATTCCTGCTGTGACCGTGTCTCTTTCCATGCTAAAAAGAGAACAAACTGCTCACCTGGGGCTCTGTGATCACAGGGGCTGGGGCCAAGGGACCTGCATATATCCACGAGGGGAAGGATTTAAAGCATCCTCTGGGTTCCCAGATCCTGCAGTGAACCCTTTAGAAATAGACCCGTGAACATCCATGAGCCTGGATCTTTGGTCTGTATGGTGGGGGTCCTCAGCCAGATCCCCAGGCTTTCAGCAACAAGCAGTGTTCTTTGAGGGATATGGGGTAACTTAGGAGGTTCATGGTCCAAGTGTGTTCCTCAAAACTTGGGATGCTTCCCAGGTTATGAAAGTAGAACCGTGGCCATACACAGGGACAGTAAGAGTGTTCTGTGATGTCTAAAGCCACAGCCTCAGCCTCAAAGGGCATCCAGAGATGGCCCCAAAGGGAGCAACCGTCTCTACAGCTGTGTAAGTTTCATGTGTCATGTGCTTTTTGTCTTTTCCTTGTGACACAGGGCCAAGCATACCTGCAAAAAAACATTGCTGGAGGAGGTACAGGAGCTGGAGACGAAGTCCAGAGTGATGGGGAAGGCGATGCTTCGGGACAGTAATGGAAAGAGGTGGGCCAGCTCCGACCGAGTGTGTGGGGAGCACCAGTCCTCCCGGCCCTTCTCCCTACGTTTCCTTCCTGGCTTTCTGTTTCTCTTCTCAGTTTTCCATGTGAGCATGAACTGATGTTTTAAGTGTTTTGGTTATTCTCTAAGAATACCGTCATAGGGAGATTTAAATTACATTTTCTCGATGGTCACATGAAATCTAGTCTGTCCCCAGGTAAAGCTGGGGTTTTTATTGGGTCCGGGTAAAACAATGCACATGTAGAAAACAGAAATAGTAGCAATACTACCCTGAGGTGGACAAGTTCTGTTTTAGTTATATTACCAAAGAGTATTTAAAAGCTAGGCCTTTTGAAACCAGGGCCAGTTATTAGACTAGAGGATGAGTATCTACCACGAAGGTTTGTGTGCCAAATGACACCCGTTATTCGTGTCAATCTTGTTATATATAGTTCATGGCAAGTATACCTGGGCCTTTTTGTTTTCCTTTTCATGAATTATGATTTTCTGCTTGGGTTGAGAAAACTATCATGTGAACGTCCAGGCTAGTTCAGAGAGACAAATGTTATCGTTTCCTTCCCTTATTTGTGGTAGAACCTCGGCCGCCTCCTCCCTGTCTCTAAGTTGGGTATGAGAAAAGCTTTTGATTAATCATTTTTGTTATAATGTTATTAGATTGCATTTAGTTAAAGCCCATATACTACCAAGTCTACCTGGACCCAAGAACAGTTGAGCATCGCCGTCTTAAACACGTGGCATGTCTGGAAGATTATGAGTACAGCTGTCCTGTAAATGCTTCGGAGGAAGTCTGTATCTACCTTTCAGGGAAACAGAAACCTACAAGTTGAACACTTCTAGAGACCCTTCCTGTGTGTCTTGTTTTATTCTGTTTATTCATATCATCTTTCAAAGCAATGAAGACAAAGACATTTCTTTTTAAGAGAATCTGAATTTTGAGAAGTATTAGGAATATCACTTTAAATTACTGCAGATGTTTTAGGAGAGGGGTGGTCGAGTCCATAGCTGAAGTTGTGGTTTTTGCATTTGTTTATGGCATTTTTTAATAAGCGAGTCCATTAGCATCCATTACATGGCAGCTGTGCTCATCACTCTAAAAAATAATCTGTCAACAGGACAAAACCCACTGTCTTTAATAACCGAAAGCCATGAGTGTATGGGGACAGCGGCAGGGCCTGAAGCGGGTCTATACAGAACCATTACACCGGGCAGCCCAGGGCCAAGGCCGGCGCTCTCTGTTAGATACTTGAGGCATAGTGCTTAGCACCTACTAGATTTTCAAGGACTTACAAAATTCTTGGACCCCCCCGCAAAATGTTCATAAGCTCTAAAAATAGGGAGAAGCCTCTGCAAATTGAAATTCATAAAGGCTTAAAACTCTACAAAATGCAGATCAATTTTAGTAACGACTTAGGTTTATTAAGTATACGGGGTTTTGGCTTCTTTGAAAACCACTCCCAGGTCCTCTTAGATCTCAAGAATGCTCACTCACACACAGTAGCTGCTGAGAGATCATGGGTAATTTCTAAGTCAAAGGAGAATTTCAAAGCCAAATTCTAAAACTTTTATGCAACGTTGGACAGGAAAACCTTGTGCCTCACCTGGCATAGGAAGGCGCTTTGCCATGTTTGATCTGATGTGGGTCAGGGTCTGGTTCTGGCCCCGCCAGCTAATAGGGCTGGACATGGGGTGGGGAGCAGGGAGGCATTGAGAGGAGGCAGCAAGCTGGGAAGCCATCTGGCTTGAGAGGTGAAGGGCTTCACATGGGGCATGGGATGGAAAACAGGGCTTGGAGGAGGTGAGCAGACAGACGTGATGAGTGCGTGCTTCTGTCAGAGGGAGCAGCCTGTGTGGGGGGTACCCAGTGGGATTGTGTGCCCTGGTGCAATTCGCCCCAAGGGATCTAGAGCCCGTGTTTCAGTTCTGGTTCAGCTGCTGCTTAGCCATGTGACCTTGGACAAGCTTTTTCCTACAGTGGGATGGTCTCTTCATCCGCAGCTGTAAGAGTAGTATGTGGGGGAAGCAAGGCTGGGGCTCATGAAACAATGCGCAGAACGCGGCATACTGCCTGACCCGTGGCTGGAATGCAGAGTGTCAGCTGCTAGCCTTCACTTTGGCAGGGGGGATATGCGCCCTCCTCACTGTTGATAAAAAGAATGGAATTTTTAAAACTCACATATCCTGTTCACAACTCACTTTTCAATGTTCCAGTGAATATCGGAAGGTAATTACAGTTTAAGTGTGGTCTCTTACCTTCTGCGTTTTAAAATCTGTTTTCTGATTGCTTTGTCAATTTTGCAACCTCGTAGTTGTACCCACGGTGCATGAAACGTGAGTGTGCCCCGCCCCCACCTCCTGACTGGGGCTCCTCTAGTCCCAGTGTCCTGCCCTGCTCACTTGTGTAATCTCTGCCTCCCATCAGCTTCGGAGCGCCCAGCCACCACCACCACCACTACCACCACCACTGTTTGTTTTTTTCTCCCTCCTAATTGCTCCCAGATTTTCTGGGTGGTCCTTTGCAAACTAGATAGTGGGACCGGCTGCTCTGATTTTGTCCTGCTTGGCCTCACAACTGTTCTTTTATCACCTTTGTTTGCTTCTTTCACACCTGCCAGGATTCCTGGGCAGCTCTGGTACTGGGGAGGGGTGGGGAAGGGGTGGAGGAGGGTAGGCCCAGGGCCTGGGGTGGGCAGAGAGGTTCCTTCAGCTCCCTTCCTCCTTGTAATGATTTAGAGACACCCTCCTGGAGGGAGCCTGAGTGCTTCTCTCTCTCCTCACATGTCCCATTCCTTAATCCCACCCCCATCTAATATTTCAGTAGGCTCGTGCATCTCTCTTTTGCTGTTAGGCTGGTGCATAGTAAACACTCTGTAAATATTTGTTGGCTGACTGGCACTGCAAAAGCCCAGTGAGCTGATGAGGAGGAGAGGAAGGTGAGCCCGCATTCTCTGTGCAGGGCAGCTGGAGCCCGTTGCGTAGGCCCACGTTAAGAGTAGCCATGGAGCGCTGCTGAGAGAGAGGCTGGCAGCCACTCAACCTGTCATGAGGGGACCACTTACTTCACGGCTTCAGAACAGAGCTAACAGAGTCACAGATGGACAGATGTGTGGGACATAAGCATCGCCTCCCCATACAAAGATGAGTAAGGCTGGGAGCTAGTCCTCCCACCGACCCTGCCTTCCAGTGCCTCTGCTTGCCAGGTGTCCTCGACATCCCTAACCACCGGACAGCTATGCAGCTCAACGCTGAAAGCTTTCCTTAAGGCCCCTTCAGTACACTCTGCCAAGTCATAAAACCTAGGTCCAAGTCACCGGCAAATATTCGAGCAGTTTTTCTCAGGAATGTACTCATAAGAAATAGAACAAAAATTTTTATGCATTAATCTTAAAAAAAAAAAAAAAAAGCCCTTTCGTGCCAAATTTGCAATTACAATTTTGACGGTAGCTAGGAATTCTAAGTGTTCCCCTATGCCCTTTACCCATTCAATAAAATACTTCAACTTACCATTTTATTGATCTTGTCAAAGCCCCAAACTCTTCTATTATTTTGGTAAACATGAAAATTTCATTAGCATACTCCTGCACTTTTGCATTAGTAAATTTTGTCTTTCAAAATGAACGTGTGTCATTTATGCACAATTAAGCCTGTACTCATGACTTAGAGAATAAAAGCTGATAAAGGGAAAAGATGAGATCTATGATTGAGATATCAAGAAAGTACAGGGAAAAAAGAAAATGCTTCAGGTGGCAAACAGAAATGTTTTCATTTTGTCTTTTATTTTGTCTTTTCCTGATGAAACACTTTTCTTGGTGTATGATCTGTGTACCTCACAAATACTAGACCCTTGTTAATATTTATATTGTTCAGAATACCTTTCCCCAGGCCATCTTCCCCAAAAAACTTGACCGAGATATCCCTACTGTCCAGAATAGAATCTATCATGCATGTCAGCACCTTGCACATGTCTCAAAAAATGAGCTAAGGAAAGAATTCTTTCTTTCAATGTTTTGGTAGTATTTTCTCCCTCTCCTTCTTTATTCCTAAAGTGTAACTCATGTGACTTTATTTTTCCTCTGGTGGAAGAAAAACTACCGGTGGCCACTTACCTTTACAAATATAATTTTTTTAAATGTCCAGGATGTCATGTAAGGTTAACAAACTAAAATTTCCCCCTTTAAATTGTTTTTCTTCCTCAGTGCAAAGTAGAGGATATTCAGGTATTCTGGGTATTACAGCAGTCAGGAAGCAAGGTGAATATATTTGATGAAAACATTGAGTTTTCTAGTTATACTTAATCCAAATAAACCACAAGGAGACTCTTGTTTTGTTTTAGAACTTCTTTCTGTTCATCACAGTTGTTGGGGTGGACGGGGGAGGGTAGGTCCCGGCTGATTTTTCTCCAGTTTCAAGGTCAAGGACTTCTGGTTGCTACCCTTGGCTTTCACCAGCAAGGCAGTAGGATTCTCTTTCACTTAAGTGCTTCCCTGGAGTATAGTTTACTCTGTGCCCTTGGTAAAGGTAACCGGGTGACTGGTCTTTGCCTTGTAGTGAGTGATCACTGAATCTCTTACTTGGTTTAATGTCCTCATGAATGCTAATACATGGGCTCTGTGACCGCAGGGCCCAACCGGCACACACAGGGTAATCTAGACAGCCTGTCTGCCTCTTGGGGATTCAGGAGGGAAACTTGATTCACTCCTGTGTCTGGGTGCCATAGCCTGGGCTCACGCAGCGCCTGTGTCATCAAGGCTACCGCTGTTGCAGATAGGTGGGGCACGGGTCCAAGCCAGCCATCTGGGAATCCTAATGGAGTGTTATCAGTGGAAAAATAGAGGCCAGAGCCTGAAACATATCAACACCATTTTCAAACACACCAACGATCATTCCTCCATTCCAGGTGGCACTCACCTGGTGCTATTCTAAAAACCAATTAAATTAAAAAACAACAACCAAAAAAAACGCCCCAATACATTTTGAGGTGAGTAGCC